TACACATTTACATTTTAGGCTTTTTATTACCGGTTTTAACTTTGTTATATTTACTTCTATTTGCAGAGCCACATCTTCTAAATAGTAGGCTTTCTACTATTGAATCATGTTAAAATAAGAAACATGTATACACAAAACATGGATTTGTACCAGAAATCTAACTTTTGTTGTGTTTATATTTTCCGGTTGACCTTCCCATCTTTAGATGACGTTTGAATAGATGGATTTTGTTTCGGTATTACAGCCTAATCACTATAAATAATAACACAGAATAATAACAAACAATACATTATGTGACACACTAGATTATTTTGGTCATTTTCCAATCATAAGAATGTTATTACGATTTGTTTTTATGTAAAAATAGAAAAATAATGTTAGGCCTATAAATTGTTTATAATTGTGTTTTATAGATTTATTTATCTTTGCCATATAAAGATAATACTTTGGATTCTAGGCTAAGAATATTAATTTATTACGAGTGTGCTTTGATATATTTATGTTTATATTTTTAGTGTAATAATAAATCAGACCATTGTTCCATAGATATTTATATTTTGTTTTGTTATCTTCCTTTTTCAATGTTGTTTCGATGTTGTTGCGTCGCGAAATTGAGTGTTTTGACCAGGTACCTGACATGTTATCGTACTGAATACTCAATACGTTCCTAAATTCTTGCGGAAAAAAAAATGTAATTCGGGTGGCAATCGAACCCACAACCACCAGATACTAGGCCTGGAGTCATAACCAGATAATAGAGCTTGTGGTTAGTTGCTAGTAGCAGGGGGTACTGCAATGCTGTTTCTTGTTATTTCTTGTTTAATTTTCAGAATTATGTCCGATACCAAAGGGACTCGGAATTGCGGGGTTAGACAATGGTGTTGTAGATCCATGGCCGCCGGTCAGGGACACTGATACGTCAATGCCTTGCCTTCCAAACGGCAAAGACAAAATGAAATTCATTTGTGATGATGGATTTCGGTTGCAGACAACAGAAGTAGAAATATTTTGTGACGAGCAATATAATTGGAACCAAGATGCGCCAACTTGCGTTGATGAAGCTGTTCCATCTAAATCTACTGTACACAAACCACCACCTCCGCCGCCATGCAACGAGTGTGCAGGTAAGGTATCGGTAACCATTTTCGAATATAGAGCATAAGAAAAAGGGTAGGCCTACGCTTATCCAACACAGCCAACACACAAGCAAAATTAACGTTATAATAATATTATACAAATTAATGTGATTTAAAATTAACCAGAGTTATCCGTCGAAACTCGATGGAGATTTCCGTGGATTGGTAAACAATGTACCTTCGAATCAATAACTCGTATTGTTGCGTAAAGAATATATATGTATATATTATTCAAATTAAGTTTGCTGCCTAGCAACGTTAACACAATAAAATTAGAAAAAATGATGTCATAACTGTATCAATTAGGCTTAGCTCTTCAACGAAAAATTCATTTTTTCAGCAGTTGTATGAACGAAAGTGTCTCTAGCGCGATCTTTTCGCTGAAGGGCTAATTGATACGATTATAACATCATGTTCGTATTTTGAACACTGATGTTACCATATTATTTATCTATTTGTTTATGTGTATATTATGTATACATATAGACCCACTTATATATATATATTATATATATATATATATTATATATATTTTATTTTGAATTGAATTGAAAATATATATATAACTTGCATTTATAAGATGCACAAGACCGCTGAGAGAGTTATTCATTGAGTCTTGCAGCTAAAAAATGTTGCTGGTATAGAGCCGTTTTAAGGTGTATGGATAACTTGAATTGAATAATGATTTTTAAGTGATTTCATTTTCTTTATCGTTGAATTTAGATGAATCATTATTAATTGTCATCATTGTCCTTGCGTTGATGTTTTTGATGAGCTGGGTCATTTTTATTTTGATTTTCACCTGTAAAAGGAGGTATGCAAATTAAATTCTTATCATGATCGTCGTCATTGATGTCGTCTTCGTCATCATCCTCACCATAATATCATCAACATTACCGTCATCATCACCACCATAATAACCATTATCATCATTATCGCCATCTTTATCATCATCATCATCATTTCATTTCATTTCACTTTTATTGCCAAATTCCAACAGTATATACAAAAAGAGTTAAACAAGTACACATGGCAATAGGAGGTTAAAATAAAAGATTTCTCTTGTCAAGTTTAATCCCCTTTAC